AGGGCCCACACCTCAGGAGAGCCCAGGCTCAACCTCACCATGACCATCCTGTTGGCTACCACTCACCGTAACCTGCTGCCCAGGGGTCACTCTTCATGGGAGTAGAAAGCCTTGTCTTTCTTTCAAGGAGGGGCTGGTGGTTTGAACTGCCAACTTTGTGGTAGGTTCCTCAGGAGAGGCCCAGTCCTCCACATTTCTGAGAAAGGTCCCACTTCTGAGCGGTGGTCCTCGTTTCCCTGTGTGGGTGGTGCAGATCCCCCGAGGCCGTCTTTCCATGTCAGCCCTGCCTGCCTGCTGCTTCCATGTCCTGGCGGGACCGAGACCTACCAGGGTATCAGCTGGTTGTTGCTGGCTGCCCAGAGTCAGCCCCTGGCTTGCGGGGAACCCACCATGATGACATCAGGTCGTTGTGGTCCCGTGGCATCATGTGGGGCGAGTGGGAGGCTCTGGAAGCTCCCCTGAAGCCTGTCTAGCGTCACAGTGACACGCTAGTCCCCCCATAGCAGCAAGCAGACCTCCCCTGGCAGCTGGGTGGTTACTGTGCATGAAGTGCCCGTGTGGGGGACTGCCCTGCGAGGGTCATCTGAGAGCAGGGATGGGGACTGGCTGGCACATGGCTGCGCCTTCTGGCGGTTGCCTGGGAGCTGGTGTCTGGAAACCAGGCCCCAGCCAGCCCATTCTTGGTCAGCCTTGTTCTCGGCCCTCGGAGCCCTGAGACTCGGAGCCTGCAGTGAGGGCCCTAGGGGTAGTCCGAGGGGTTTTGCAGCCGTGACCCCGAGGACTTGAGTGACAACACTGGGGCCACCACGCAACACCGGGCTGCGGGCTTGAGGACTGAGGTGACGGGGGTGGCAGGGGCCTTGGCACAGATGAGTCATGTTCTCACCCTGAGCTGAGTCTGAGGGCTGGATTGCTCCCTTGTTCCCCTGAGCCTGGCGGGTGCTGGGAGGAGAGGGCTGGGACCATGCAGTTGGAACCTGGTCCAGAACATGCGTTCTCCCGGACCGGTGGGTGTTTCCCGCATGACTGTCCCCTCCCGTGGCGATTGCTCAGACACCCCCGTGGGCAGTGCAGGGACTTTTGCTGCAGAGTTCAAGGCTGCCTTGGGAGGACTGGCTGTGGAGACGCAGAGGCCAGGGGCCACAGTCGCGGTCAGGACACCCTTGTAGGTTGTGCTGCTGTCGCTGGCCTGCTCTCCTGGCATCTAGCGTGGCACCGGGGGCGTGGTGGTGGCGGTGAGCTGGCGCCTGTCCAGCTGTGCTCCGGCGCCTCAGTCCTGAGCCTGAGCTACAAGATGGAACTGGCGGCTGTGCCATGGCTCACCTCTGGCTGCAGGCCGGACCCCCATGGGGCCTGCCACCCGCTGCTCCCGAGTTCGCCCCGCCTGGGCTTCCTAATCACCTGTATTGGCTGCACACCTTCCTGGGCATTCTCGAATGCCTGCTGACTGGAAGGCAGGTGGTTTGAGTCTACCTGGAGGTGTGCTTTCGGCACGGACTCTGCTCGGACGCACGTGGGTGGCCACGAGGGAGGGCTCTGTGGGCACTGGGGCGTAGTGGTTACTCGTTGAGCTGCTAGCAGCAAGGTCAACAATTAAAAACTACCAGGTGCTCCATGGGAGAAAGACAGGGCTTTATACTCCCCTAAAGAGTCTTTAATCTTGCAACCAACTACCCCCCCCCTCCCGTCCCACCAGGGGCATTTCTACCCTGCCCTGTAGCGTCGTCGTCCGCTGAGTGGTTGTGGCCTCGGTGGCAGTGGGTTTGTTGTTGGTTGGTTTTTGTAGCTTGTGGTGCACTTGCACACAGCCGTGAGGGAGGTGCTTGCTACACCCACTTTGCCGATGAGGAGCCTAAGACTTGGGGGTGGGGGTTCCCTGAGAGCCCAGGCAGCAGCTGAGTTGCAGCTGGTGGCAAGTCCTCGTTGTTACAGTTGTAGTAGGTTGTTACAATGCTACAACAGCCTCCGCCTTGGGGGCGGGTCTCACTCATGCTGTCGCACAATAGAACTGGACCCTGAGCTCTCTCGGCTGTCCTTTTTCCTCCTGAATTTTGTATTGTGAATTCAGGTGGGGGTTTTACATTTCCGACCATCAACTCTGCATTCAGCAGTTCAACCTTCATGGCGCCATGCCCCCCTCCCCTTGCTCTATCCCATCCCCCCTAACTTCTCTCCTCTCTCTTAGGAGTCTCCATCCTCCCTTTCACCCTAGCCAATCCTTGTCAGCCTCCAAGTCTGTTGGTTCATCCCCCAGCCTTGCCCTCCCTCTTCCCTCGGGGACTTCCAAAGTCTGCCCCTCAGGGTGCAGGTCTCTGCCTGGGCCTCTGCCCTCAGCGTCGTCGGCGTCATGGTCGCGCACAGGATCTGCTCTTCGGTGGTGGACCGACTTCACCCAGCAAGCGGCTCTCCTGGTCTGGCCGCGTTGGGAGGCGCGTTGTGGTTGCGTCATGGTTTTCCAGGGATGCACACACAGTATTGCATTGTCTGCATGGTCCAAAGTGTCTTTATCCGTTCTTCTACTGATGGGCACTGGGGCCGTTTCCGGCTTCTTGCTGCTGTGAACCGCCCTGCGATGGGCATGAGACAGCAGCGAGCACAGGTCTGACCACGTTCTGCCTCTTCTTTGCGCTGGCGCTCAGCAGAGGGAGCGCTGGATCATAAGGGGTTTCTGCTCCCACTTGTTTGAGGTGGCGCCCTGCCACTTTCGAGCACGGTGTGCTGTTTACAGAAGCCCCAGCAGTGGTGGGAGTTCCAATTTCTCCGCGTGCCCTCCCCTTGGCTGTCATCTTTGTGGGAGCTTACAGTCACCAGGCCTTTCTTCCGTGGCACCACTGGGTGAATCGAAGTGCAGTGCAAACCGTTTGCGTCACCCAGGGACTCTGTGATAGCAGTGGACCACAAAAGGGTGTTGGGTCTTAGAGAGAGGGGTTCTCGCTGGTTGCCCCGCCCCTTTCTCCCTCCGCACCCTTAGTCTTCCTCCACTCAGGACACTTTTTTTTTTTTTTT